CCCAAGGGCATGTACCTGGGTTTTAGGTTTGATCTGTGGCTTCGGTTGGGGTGTGTGTGCACGTGAGGCAACCAGTTAATGTACCTCTCTTACATCAATATTTCCCTCTCTCTCTCTCTCTCTCTCTCTCTCTCTCTCTCTCTCTCTCTCTCTCTCTCTCTCTCTCCACTTCTTCCTCCCTTCTACTCTCTCTCTAAGGATCAATGAAAAATATTTCCTCAGATGAGGATGTTTTTAAAAAATAAATCTTTATTGTTCAGATTATTACAAATGTGTTCCTCTTCCCCCCCTCAATTGCTCCCTTCCACCAGGTTCCCACCCCACTCTCTGTCCTTTTCCCATCCCCCATTGTCCTCATCCATAGATGCACAGTTTTTGTTCAGTCTCTTCCCACACCCCCACTTCCCTTTTCCCCGAGAATCGTCGGTCAACTCCCCTTCCGTGCCTCTGATTCTATTATATTCACCAGTTAATATTGTTCATCAGGTTTTTTTAATTCCCTTGGTTTTTAGATTCACTTGTTGATAGTTACGTATTTGTTGTTCATAAGTTTTTATCTTTGTCTTCTTCCTCTTCCTAAAGAACCCCCTTCAGCAATTCATATAATTCTGGCTTGGCGGTGATGAACTCTTTTAGCTTTTTTTCATTTGTGAAGCTCTTTATCTGTCCTTCTATTCTGAGTGATAGCTTTGCTGGGTAGAGTATTTTTGGCTGTAGGTTCTTGCTATTCATCACCTTGAATATTTCTTGCCATTCCCGTCTGGCCTGCATGGTTTCTGTTGAGAAATCAGCTGACAATCGTATGGGTGCTCCTTTATAGGTAACTACCTGCTTTTCTCTTGCTACTTTTAATATTCTCTCTTTGTCTTTTGCTCTTGGAATTTTAATTATGATTTGTCTTGGTGTGGTCCTCCTTGGATTCCTTTTGTTTGGGGTTCTGCGGGCTTCCTGGACTTGTAAGTCTATTTCTTTCCCCAGGTGGGGGAAGTTTTCTGTCGCTATTTCTTCCAGTATTCTTTTTTTTTTTTTTTTTTTTTTTTTTTTTTTTTAAATATATGTTTTATTGATTTTTTTACAGAGAGGAGGAGAGAGGGATAGAGAGCTAGAAACGTCGATGAGAAACATCGACCAGCTGCCTCTTGCACACCCCCTACCGGGGATGTGCCCGCAACCAATATACATACCTGCCCTTGACCGGAATCGAACCTGGGACCTTTCAGTCCGCAGACCGACGCTCTATCCACTGAGCCAAACCGGTTTCAGCTCTTCCAGTATTCTTTCGGTATCTTGCTCTCTCTCTTCTGGAATCCCCAAAATTCTGATGTTGGTTCGCTTGAAATTATCCCAGAGGTTTCTTACACTATCTTCAACTTTCTGGATTCTCTTATATTCTCGCTTCTGCAGAGGAGTGTCCTCTGTCTCTTTGTGTTCTAAATCTTTGTCTTGATTCTTGCGATCTTCCAGCCTGTTTTTAGGACTTTGTATAATATTTTTTATTTCAGACAATGTTTTCTTCATTTCTAGTTGATCCTTATTATTTCTAGTTGCTCCCTTTTCATATCCTCATAGGTCTCATTTATTTTATCGGCCTTTTTTAGGATATTGTTGAATAACCTTATAACTGTAGTTTTGAACTCAATGTCCAATCTTTTCTTTTCCTCCATCTCCTTCCTTTGTGTTCTTCCTCTTGTCTGCATTTTAGTTGTTTCCCTGATTTGATGGAATAGCTTTGTGTGCTAGGTGTTCTGGTAGAGCCCAGTAGCACAGCCTTCCCAGTTACCTGTGGTGGACAGTCTTGGTGTAGCCCTTTGTGGGCTGTGTGTGCAGTCTTGTTGTTAAGCCTTGCTTATTGTTGGTATCACTGGGAAGCCTTGATCTCCAAGCCAATTGGCTGTGAGGATCAGCAGTGTCTCAGCTAGGAGGGCTTCTGTACTCCGCTTGGATAGGGCGGGTCTCGGGGTGGAGCAGACAATCTTTGGTCCCTGTCAGTCTTGCCTTAGAAAAGTCCTGTTTACGGAGAGTTTTGGAAGATTGGTTGCAGGCGCGCGCACCTCTTTGGTAAAGGCACAGACAAGCTTTGTATTCTGGCCAGACCCTCCTTAGAGAAAGCCAGCCTCTGGGAGAGCTTCTGTGCTCAGCCACAGATAGGGCGGAGTCTCAGTTGGTGCAGACAAGCTTTGTTTTGCAGTCGGCTCCTCCCCAAGTCCTGCAGTAATGGCCTTTGGCTTCACACACCTCCGAGAGATCTCTGCCCTCTGCCTGACAGGCTTGCTTCTCCCTGTCTAGGGCCATCTATCAGAGCAATAGGCTGATTCTGTTTTCCTCTCGATCAAGAAAGCCAGTTAAGTCCATGCGTCGGGAGTAAGCCAGTAGCGAACTCAGCCTGGCCCGCCCTCTCTGCACGCTGGGAGTAAGCCAGCACCTTTTTGCGCACACAGTTCTCCATACCTTCACAGTTCCTGAGGTTCAGTGTGCCTTCTCTCTCCTTCCCAGATGGCAGAGCCTCCTCTCAGCTAGCCATCTGGTGCTTCAGGGCAATGCCTCCCCTGTTTTCCAGTTCTAAATTCAAATTTGTTGTGGTAGGCTGCATTTGGGTGTCTACCCTATGCCGCCATCTTGGTTTCTCCTCAGATGAGGATTTTTTTTTAAAAAAAATGCAGGTTCCAGGCCCCTTCCCCCTTCCCTGGCCAGTTGGCTCCTGCACATTTAGGTTTGAGCATGTGTCCCCCTGGACAGGACCCTGTGGGGAGCACCTCGGCCTCCTTCCCTCTCGGAGCTCACCTGCCTGTGCAGTGACCGGGAGAGGGCAGGAAAGGTCTCCTCAGAGCTGGGATTTGTGTCTGAAGCCATTTGGCCCAATTGTGGAAACAGTTCTGAATCACAGCTTAGTTTTAGCTTGAGGCTGGCCTTAGACCCAGGATGCCATCTCGCTTCTGAGAGTTCATGGAGCCAGAGGTACCAGGATAGAGAGGAGCCAGGGCCAGGAGGCCCTCTCCCTGCTGTCTACTTGACTCGGGAGCATTGGAAGCAGCCCCCATAGACGAGAGAGGAGGGGCTGGACAGAAGTGCGTCAGTGTGGGGGCAAGAGGGGGGCTTTTAGAGCCAGGGGATCCAGAACTCTAGAGAGTAGGACCCAGGATCTCTCTCTCTCTCTCCTGGACCTGGGAGGTCCCTGCCAGTGTGGGGAGCCTCTGATTAAAGATGCTGGAGAATCAACCAAGCAGAGAAAACACCCAGTCCTGGATTGGATGCTGTAACACAGAAGGCGACCAGGGTGTGTGTGAGTAAGGTCCACCCCCCGCCCCAGCCGGAAGACAGGTTGGAAATAAGGGAGGGCACCAGGGACTCACCCCGGGACCGAAGGGTCACAGTAGGGAAGAGAAAGGGGGCCTCCTGGCGCATGCTCCTCTCTGTCCCAGGGCCTACGGCTCCATGCACTCTCCAGGGTGTAGAGCAGACAGGCCAGAGTGGTCCTTGGTGGGGCACAAAGGCAGCCAGGTCATGTCAAGTTCCCCCCACCCTCCACTCCCCTCCAGGCCACAGTCCTGAACCTCACATTCTGGCAGTAAGATTTCTTGCATTTCAGCCCTGGGCCAGACCGAGTTTCTGAGAAGTTGTATTTAATGGCAACTATGATCTGGAACTTTTTGGTTCAGTTTGCCTGGCCTCCTGCTGCTCCTGCCTTATGTGACCTTAGAATTCCCCATGGACTTTGACCTTCACAACTGAGGCTGTGGAGCGGGTCTGGTCCCCCAGGAGACGGTGACCGTGGCACTGTGGCATCACCCTTGGTCCCACCGGAGACTCTGCGTGGTCACCATCCCCGCCTCTCTTCCTGCAGACCGGGACGGGGCCAGCATTTTTTTTTTTTTTAAATAAATTATAATGAGGTGCTATTTTATTTTATTATTTTTTAAAATATATTTTATTGATTTTTTTTACAGAGAGGAAGAGAGAGGGATAGAGAGTTGGAAACATCGATGAGAGAGAATCATCAATCAGCTGCCTCTTGCACGCCCCGCACTGGGGATGTGCCTGCAACCAAGGTACTTGCCCTTGACAGGAATTGCTCATCTTGCCTTTGGCTCAGGCACTTTATCCAGGCCCTAACAGCCCCGCCTTCTGCAGATAAGCCCAGGGTTTCCCGTGAATCCAGATCATCGCTCTGGACCTGCAGCCAGGAGCAGTGCCACACCCTGCAGCCGGTGGGGCCGCTGTGTTTCTGGCCCTGCGCCGACAGAGGTGTGAGCAGCAGTGTGCCCAGTGGGAAGGTGACCTGGACCACTGTTATCAGTCGTCTGGTCCTCCGTTATCAGGCCGCCCGGGGAGAAAGACGGCAGCTTAGTTCCTGTAAGGTGACAGCCGGAAGTGAAAAGCTGCTGGCACTTAGGCCAACGCCAGGGGTCTGCGGACCTGTAGAAACAGATGTGGGCAGAGGCTGCCGGAGTAGCTGATGGTCCACTACCCATGCCACCTGTAGGGCCTACACCATCCCCACACGGAGCCTGGTCTACCCGACCTTCTGCCTCAGACGGCACCTCCTTACACACCTCTGCCAGGAAAGGTGTGATAACTGGCTTTGTTTGCGGAATCGCTCCTATCACAACTTACCACTGACGGTGTCTGACGAGGCCCTGCTTCCCATCTGTCAGCACACCGGAGGGAGCAGGAGGGGCCCCCGGAGCCGGGCGGGGTAGGAGGGTGGGGAGTGTTCACTTTGCACACAAAATGAAAGGGGTGCCTGCAAACTCAGTAGTCAAGTTATGTGTTTTAATGCACTATTTTAAAAAATCAAATCAGTAAACTCTGGCCGTGGGCTGGCTATCTGTTTTTATAATAAAAGTTTTGTTGGAATTGGGGCTAGGATTAGGATTCGGCAAAGCGAGGTAAGGTCATACAGGGGCAGGGGCAGATCTTGTTTTTATTAAAAAGTTTAATATTTTGACATGGAATTTTTGTATCATTCTTATTTATTTGTGCATCTGCTTTTTATTTATCGATAGCTAGTTTGATTTGGACTAAATCCTTCCAATTTGCTGAGTGACCCCTGGTATCTGACTGGATCTCAAACCTCTATCTGTTATAGTCTCACCCAGGATTGTAATAGAAGCTCTTTCCAGGCATTTCTGGCTGCTCTGAATGAAGTAAATGAGATCAATGCCTGCTCAGGAGAAATGAGGGGCCAGTAGCCGGCCTTCCAGCAGGCCCACCATTTCCCAAAAGCCCCACAGACTCCTCCCGGGGGCTTTCAGGGGCCGATCCTGGGAGCCAGATAAGGTCTCCAGATGACCTGGGAAGCCTTTGGTTTATTCCTGTGCAGGCACCCCCAGCTTTTCCAAAGTCCGATTTTAAGGAAGTCCTTTGCCTGTACCTGTTTTCACTAATAGAAATCCAAAGAGGATTTTCACTGTTAAAAAGAAAAGAAAAAAAATGAGAGCAGGGAAAACAGGGTTCACTGTCTGGCAGGAGTCATAGGGGCAGCTGCACTCCAGCAGCAGAGAGGCCCCAATAGGCTCTTCCCGGGGAACCACACTCAGCATCTCAGCATCCGGCTGCCACGGCTCTGACCTCTGGCCGGCCAGCACCTGGGCTTTACCGCGGCTTATTCTGTGCATCTGTTAGCAAGCACAGTCCCAAGGCGCCCGACAAACCAAACTGAGGAGAATTTACCCTTGGTGTAAAACTGGATGCAATTAAGTGTTTTGGTCGTGGTGAATGAGATAAGGACTTCATGTGGGTGTTGAATTTTGGGTCTGAGAACGCTCCAAAGCTTTTCCATATAATTAACGGTAATTGTTTCTTCACGTTGGCTTTCAAAAGGTTTCACAGAAAGCTCTACTTTGGAATAGCAGGAAACCTGCCTTTGATGGCCCCGTCCCCCTAGATCTGCTCGAATCCAGTCCCAGCAAGCGCTGTGAGGCCAGCAGCCGCCGGAATGCCAACGGGTACGTTGCTGATATTTTACAAAGTCTCCCCTGGCTGTGAGCCTCGTCGGGAGGTGTGTGTCTCAGCGGCTGGGCACTATTTACTTTCCCAGAAGAACCAGCCAGCCACACCGGATGAGCTCAGTGTAGCTTGACCTGAGTAAGAGACTCCCCTCATCTCTAAAAGACAATAGATTCTTTTCTCGAAATGGCCAGACATTTACAAATCAGACTTTAGCTCATCCGAAGGCGGGAGGGAGAAACGGCCTTCACGCCAGGGAGACACTGGGCGGGAAGGATGACTCCACTCGGGTGGCGGAGTCGGCAGCTCCCACCGCAGGCAGGGGAAGGCCGTGCCAGTCGGTGGCATCCCAGGAATCTGAGTGGAGATTTACTGGGAGAACAGGGAAGATGTTTTCCATTGCGTGCATCGGTCCAGCACCGTGATTCACTTCCAGGACTCAGTCTGGCTCTTCCTGTCTGCCTGTATCAGCAACACTGGAGATAAGCATTGGTGTTTTCTTTTTCTCCCCCTCAGGTCAGGCCAGGAATCCAGAGAACGCCTGGAGGGTGGCATTCGCAGAAGGCAGGCGTGTTCTCCACGGCTCCTGCCCCGGGAAGAAGAGGGGCTCACACATCGCCAGAGACTCGAGATGTGGTCGCGAGGTTCTGTCATGCCCAGCCGGTGCCACTGCCAAGAACTCATGAGATTAACCCAGGGTTCCGACCGCTGACAAGTTCATGGGTCACCTGGCCTCTCGCCTGCTCCCCTGAGGGGTCAGAAGGCCACTGAAAAAGTGCAGTGCTTTTCCTTTACTCATGTCCAGTGAGACAACAATGCCCCCACTGCAGGGCGGATGGAGAGCCTGGGGGGAACATGTGACTGTATTCACACACACACACACACACACCCCATCTCAATACTGGCAAATTTATTTTAATATTTCTATTTTAGGAGAGGTCAGAAGCTGCTGTTAGCTTGGGTATCATTTCCCATACCCAGGCCTTGCTGGCTTTGCAGGGGAGTTTCCTTCCTGTCCTAAGACATGGGCCCTGATGTCACAGGCCTCCCAACGGGCACCTGTCACTTTGCTGGTGGAACTGTTTGTGGTTCTGGTCTTGGAGGTAAGGAGACAGGCCGACTGGCCACCCTCGGAGCCTTGGGACGATGTGTGCAGAGTGCAGGGCTGCTCTGGATCAGCTACATTCCCAGTCATGGGTGGGAACAAACCTATTCTTACCAGATTCTAAGAGAGGAGGAGACTATCAAGTCTGCTGTCAGGCATATGGCTTGAGAATGAGTTTCTCTGAGTCTAAATCACTGCTGCCTCATTGTAGTTGGTCCGGGTGAGGTGAGCCAGTTTCTGCAGAGGCCACGGCCTGGCTCCAGTGGAGTCCCGGGCGCCTCCACACAAGCTCTGAGATGGACCTGCTCGCTGATCTGACTTGCGCTGTCTCCCCGGCAATGTGCCTGCAAAGCCCTCTCCTCTGTGTGTGCAGGACGACCCGGGAAGGACAGCGACAGGACCTCCCCAGCCCTCCTTGTCCGGCTGAGCCAGGAGCAGAAAGGAGCCTGGGTCACGGGGCTGTGGGAGGCTTGCTTTTGGGCCGTCAGGAGAGCTGTCCACCCCCCAGTTCCCCAAGCTTCAGTGGCTCATAGACAACTGTCACCTGCAGCTGCTGGCCGGCGGAGCGCAGGAAGCTGGCTGGTCCTGCAGAGGCACTGGGAGCTGGGAAGAAACCATCCTCACTTCCTGTGAGACTGGCTGCCTGGAGGAGAAAAGCCAGAGTGAGCTGAGCACCAGGCAGTCCGTACAGAGCCCCTCTGTCCCAGACAAGTCCCCTTTTCAACCGGCTCTGTGCAAACAAACAGAGGCCTTCCTCCCGCTCACCTGCTCTGCGGCCGGGGCCTGACTTGTTTGGCCACACTCTCCTCACAGGAAGCAGGCTGCAGGCTGCTGAGTGTGGGGGCTCAGTGAGTTTTGCTGGCATACGCTCATGTGTTGGCTGAGGTCACAAGCCATAAATCTCACTGATCACTGAGCTCTCCACACCGCCAGGGCCACGATGTGCCACTGGCCAGCCCATCAGCTACATGTTGTTCTCCCGTCACACTCGCAGGGCTCCTGGCCAGGGCAGCTGGCGGGCAGGTTAGAGGCCTGCCTGCCTCTCTGGCTGGGCCTCCCAGCATTGGCTGGCACTTCCTCTGGAGGAAGCAGCCTGCCCTGCCCCTCGGGTGGGGAGAGGGGCTGGGGGTTTGCTGTGTGTCCCCAGCAGACAGGCTTCCCAGCCGTGGCCCCTGAAGCACAGAGCCAACCCTGCCGTCAGAGGGCCCAGGGCCAGTCAGGAAGGCTGAGGGGCAGGGAGGGCTGGGGCAGTGCAGTCACAGGAATGCCCTATCCTGAGTGTGCCTGACATTATTTGTTCTGCTCCTCTATTGTTTTCCCTTATTTTCAGTAAAGCTCTTTAGAAAGGTCCAGGCTCCGTTGGGAAGTTGGGGCAGTCTACTGGCCAAGGCTGGGAAAGAACAGAGAGAGGGAAAAGTGTATTTACAGCGGGCACAGGGCAGGAGCGGAGGGGGGCCCCAGGGACAGTCCCTCCACAGGCCTGTCATACAGGAGGCTGGAGCAGCTGCCTCCCGCCAGAAGGTCCGGGTTTCAGGGCTGAGCACAGGAAGCCCCCCAGAGAGGGGATCTGACCTCTGAGAGGCATGGCCTGGAGGTCTCACTTCATCAGCTTGTGCATGAGCCCCTTAAGGCCAAAGGCAGTTTAACTGAGAGACCAGTGAAGACCAGGTCCTGGGGGCAGGGCCCTGCTCCATGGAAAAGGAGACCCACAGGGAGACTTACTCTGCAGGCCCCGCGTGGACGACGTGGACGACGTGGAGGACGCAGTGGAGGACGCAGTGGAGCCAGGGCGGCTGGCCGGCTGGGGGCCACGTGAGGAGAACTGAGGGGTCAGGGCTGACGCCTGGGCCTTGGGTGGGTACAGGTCCAGGATCTCCGGGGTACAGGGGGTCCGGGGCTTGTAGGCAAAGGCTGATGAAAATTCCCTAGAACGAAACGTGCAAGCTAGAGTCAAAGTTACGCGCGGTTGGAAGCCGCAGAAGGAAGGACTCCCGCTCTGAGCATAGAAGCCAGGTGGGCAGTGCCCTGGATAGAGGGTGGGGGCTGGGTAGAGCAGGGCACCCAGAAGCTTAAGTCTCTGTCCCCTTGGAGCTCACATTCTAGGGGCGGAGATAATAAAAAGAAATACATGCTCAGGAGGAGATAAGCGGGGACGGGGAATGGGGAGCCCGGGAGAGAAGGAAGTGTTAGGGAAGGTGTGGTTGGTAGAAAAATGGTGGCAAAGATGTCCAGGCCTAATTCCTGGAATGTCACATGACAAATGGGAATTGAGGCTGTTAATTTGCTGACTTTAAAGCAGGGAGATTACCCTGGAATTTTGGGGTGGGCCAAAAACCACAGGGGTACATAAAAGTGGGAGAGAGTCAGAGAAACAGGTGTGACCATGGAGAAAGGGACGGAGAAGCAACGCTGAATGTGGAGGAGGGGCCACGAGCCAGAGTGGGCAGGTCGCCTCTAGGAGCCGGAAGAGACAGAGAAGAGAATCCCAGGAACGAACATCTTTCCTGCAGCCCAGTGAGAGAGCTATCTGGGTCGGGCTTCTAGCCCACGGAACTGTAAGGTGATAAACGCGTGGTGTTCAGGGCACTACGTTTGTGGCAATTTGTTATAGGAACAATAGAAAGCAAATTTCAGATAGGATGCTCCGGGAAGGCCTCTCTGAGATAACATTTAACCATCCTGCGAGGCAGGCATTACTACTCCATTTTTCAGATGTAGAAACCGAGGCTCCAAAGTCGCACACATAACAAGTAGGTGGTGAGGCCAAGATCTGAACCCAGTGGGGCCTTAGACCCAGGCGCTCTCCTCTGGGTCCCAGCCTGATGGCCTGGCTGTGCAGACTGTTGGCCAGCCTTGGAATGGTGCCTTCCTTCCCTCCAGCCCACAGCCACCGTCACTCCGTGCTGTCAGAGAAAAAGTCTTGGGAGTGGGATCTTGGCTCTGTGACCTCCCAGCTACGTGGCCGGGGTTGGGATATGATTTCCCCGCCCAGCCCTTTGCTCTTTGGCTGTCATTGACCTGAAATATGCTCACCTCTTGGCTTCTTACTATTTTTGTGCTCATTTTCCTGACTGTAACTCTGAAGACTAGATCCCAGGCTGTCACCTAGGGCTGTTGTCACTGTTGAATAAGCAGCTCCCAGCATGCAACAGATGCTCAGAAACTGCAGGTCCATTTTTCCTACTCTATGTGGACGCCTCAGTCCGGGGGCTGCCTGTAAGACAGCTGTGACAACCCAGTGAGGCTGTTCCAGGCTCTGGGTTGTGGCCCATGCCCCACAAATGGGGGTTATGGCTCTGGGGAGTGGGACTTGGGGAGGAAACTGTAGAATTTTCTATTTGACTCTTTTCTATATTTCTATTGTACATGCCTCCCTTTTTCTTTTTACATTGAGAATATATTACTTTAATAATTAGAAAGGAAAACTTAAACATCTCAAAGTTTCCAAATTCAAATTTAGGAAAAAGATTGGCATAAAGACTGCTCAGGCAAGAAATCTTCCACACCAGGCAGAAGAGAAGATTTTTAGACTTTCAGGTAATTTTTTCTTTCAAAAGAAAGTTTACTTTTATATCATCTTTCATATTATCCCCTGATATTTCCCACAGTATGCCTTTCCCACCATCACACTGCTGTGCTATCCAATGTCCTTATTCCATTCTCTCTCCATGGGTCTGAGTAGCCTCTGTCATAATTATTTCCATAATCATTTTCAAAGTCCACCGTTTCTTACTTCTTTTTAGTCGGATCAAGTTTCTAAACTTTATAAATCTCCATTTTCCAGCGAATGAAAAGAAAATAGGATTCCACCGAGTCTCCTATCTACCTACTCCAGGACTTCTGTGAGAATCAAATGAGATGAGGCATGGGAAAACGCTTCACAGACTTTTGGTTACAGTGTGAAATGTTTCCACCTGGCTATAAAGCAAGCTGTGTTCCTGGGCTGAAGAAACTGCAAGGAGGCTAGTCGTCTCTAGGAAGAGGAAGCTGAGAGCTGCTATGTGACATCATTACCCAGACGGACACTTAAGCATATTAGCCTTTTATATAAATAGATGGTCTGTCGCTAGGGAGAGGAAGCCGGGTGTTGCTATATGATGTCATTACCTGGCGCCACAGCCACTGTTTCTGGTTTGGGCTGGGCGGTGGGCTGCATTTTATACCATGGGGTCTCTGCAACATTGGCTGCGATTTAGTGGGGTGTTGCTCTGGAAGCCAAGTGTTGCTTTGTGGGCACCAGGTCCACCGTGACATTTCTCTGTGCATCACGGCAGCTCTTGCATTGAGTGTCTGCCCCTGGTGGTCAGTGCACATCATAGTGACCGGTCGGACAGTGGGAGGGACACTTAGCATATTAGCCTTTTATATAGATAGATGGTTGTGAGCCTTTTCATCTGATTGACGTACTGTAATTCATTAAGACTCTGCCTTGCTGGGAGCGGCCAGGCCCGGAGCAGCTGGGTCTGGTGCGTCCAGGCCCAGAGCAGCAGCTGCCAGGCTGGAAGCGGCCAGGCCCGGAGAAGCCGGGTCTGGTGCGGCCAGGCCCGGAGCAGCAGCTGCCAGGCTGGGAGCGGCCAGGCCCGGAGCAGCAGCTGCCAGGCTGGGAGCGGCCAGGCCAGGAGCAGCGGCTGCCAGGCTGGGAGTGGCCAGGCCTGGAGCAGCGGCTGCCAGGCTGGGAGTGGCCAGGCGTGGAGTGGCCAGGCCCGGAGCAACCGGGCCCAGAGCAGCCAGGTCAGGTGCGGCCAGGCCTGGAGCAGCAACAGCCAAGTCCAGAGCAACTACAATAGGTCGGGAGCGGCAGTGGCCAGACCCGGAGCAGCTGGTTGTGGAACGAACCAGAGCAACAGAGGCCAGGCCCAGAGCAGCCAGGCCCGGAACAGCTCGCTCCTCGCCTGCCCCTGCCCCACGGCTGCCTCTCAGACATGGCTGGAAACTTTTGTGGGAACTTGAGAGTCTGCTGAATCAAGTGATGAAGGCTTAGATCTGGATGTGTTGAGTTAGTATAGCGCTGGGGTGTTGATCTGTGAGTGCCTTGGGTGGGGCCTGGATGAGGCTGGTTGACCTATTTGGAAATGTTTTTTGTGTGAAGTGTATCATTGGGCATGTGGAGGTATTATTGATATGAGAAAATGCTAAGTAACAGATTTACTATCTGAAAAGGGATTTACTATTGGGGAAAGGGAGGGAGGAAGAGACTGAACATAAACTATGCACCTATAGATGAGGACAATGGGGGATGGGGAGGGGGCGGAGGGTGGGATGGGAACCTGGTGGAGGGGGGAAGAAATGAGGAACCTTTGTAATAATATGAACAATAAAGATTGATAAAAAAAAAAAAAGAAAAGACTCTGCCTTGATGGTTTGCTTTTCTTTCATCTGTTGCTAATTCATGTGTGCTAAGGGCTGTGCTGGGTGCTGGGGATGAAAGATCAACCAGACATGGTTCCAGCTCCTGGGAGTTCACGGAGCCTGTTTGATCTGTGACCAAAGATTGTAAGACAGTGAGACCAGCTGCATCACTGATGCTTTCTTACTCACTATTATCTTATTCAAATGAGATTATTTCCTACTTAGCTATTTTAATCTCAATGTTTTTCATCATTGTTGTAGCAGTTAATTATTTTTAAGTTGTAGTGATAACCATCGTGACAATTTTTAAATGTAACCCAACTATATTTTAAGAAGAAACAACTGAGAGAAACTATTAAAAATGACCAGCTGAACGCTGGAAGCTATTCCAGGTAGTGGGAATAGCCTGAGTTGCCTGGATGGCCCATCACATGGTCACAGGCCAGGGAGGGTCATCCAGGGTCGCGGGAGCTAGTGATGCAGACTCAGGATGGCTGGGCAGCTTCGCCAAATGGGGCCTGGAAGCTGATGGGCAGTAATGTCAGGTTTGCAGGGTTGGGGGCAGCTGCAGTGAGCTGGCAAGAAGTAAAGGGAGAGAAAGATCTGAGCATCAGGGCTCAAGACTTCATAATCTCCCCATCCCAGGGCAACCAGAAAAGGGCCGTCGCCTTTAGCTGAGCAATTTGGTAATGTGTGTCAAAACCCTTTAATGTGGGCTAATTTTGTATGTCAACCTGGCTGGGCCATGGTACCCAGATAGTTATCCAAATGTTATGCTGAATGTTTCTGTGCAGGTGTTTTGGGATGAGATTAACATTTAAATAACTGACTTTATAAATAAAGTAGATTGCCCTCCATAATATGCTGAAGGCCTGAGTAGGAAAAAACCTGACCTCCCCTGATCAGGAAGGAATTCTGTCATCAGATGGCCTTTGGACTCGAATTCCAGCTCTTCCCCAAGTCTCCAGCCTGCTGGCCCATCCTGTAAATTTTGGACTTGTCAAGACTCCACAGTTCTTTAAAGTAATCCATGTGACCCAATGCCTTAAAGTAAAGCGCTCTCTCTCTCTCTCTATATATATAAATATATACACATATCCTGTTGGTTCTGTTTTTCTGGAGAACCCTGAGTAATACACCTTAAAAGACAGCCTCCTTAGCTGATTGATGTTTCTCTCATCAATGTTTCTTTCTCTCCTCCCTTCCCCTCTCTCTAAAAAATCAATAAAAACATATTTAACCTCAGAGGGAAGGTAGGGGAAAGAGCGGGGGGTGGGGATAGGAGAAGAGGAGTAAGACATCAACTGCCCTAACTGGCTTCACTCAGTGAATAGAGCATTGGCCCACTGACTGAAGAGTCCTGGGTTTGATTCCGGTCAAGGGCATGTACCTTGGTTGTGGGCTCGATCCCCAATAGGGGGCAAGCAGGAGGTAGCTGACCACTGTTTTTCTCATCTATGTTTCTAACTCTCTATCCCTCTCCCTTATTCTCTGTAAAAAATTTAAAAAAATATATTTCAAAAAAAGAGATCAACCAATGAACTCGTATGCATGCATAGAAGCATAATCAATGGAC